GGAAAGAGAGTAGACGGGTCATTCAGGCACACATCAAGGAGAAAAAGCACACAGTGACGCAGAGGGAAGTGTCTTGGGGAAATAAGAAATTGAAAATGTGTATCAAGCCTATGATTGTTTTGGCTGCTACTTAAAACATCCCAGCGTGCAGTGAGGGGTGTGTGTGTGTGTGTGTGTGTGTCCAAATGCCTGAGTTTGAACACCAAGTTTCCTTTTCCTACCTCATTTTCTTGGTACTGGCTGAGGGCCCAGACGGCTCCTAGATGCCAGCTGGAGCGACCACGATCAGGAAGACTCTCAATGATCATGTTCACATCTGCCAAGCCCTTCTGCTTGGGCGGGGGCCTCCGCATGGTAGATGGAGCGTTGGGAATCCAGGAACACCAGTCATACTGCGCAAAGATACAGTATATGCATGCAGACATTTACTTAACTAGAGTATACTTTACTTTAGTGTTTTAATTTTCTGTGATGTTTGCTCCACTGCATTTATCCTACAGCTTTAGTACTAGATCAACCTCGCTCAGTCACCATGGTCTTTACCTTGAATATCGCCCTCCTACCCATCCTTGAGACCTTTTGTCAACAAAGTCATTTGACTGATTTTTAGGAGGCTTGGCTCACTGTCTGTTAAAGTACCCAGGTGAAAATGCCTCTTCCTCTTTGCATTAACTCATCTCATCCTAGACAAGTAAGTATTGTTATGTTTGGGGCTCTATTTATTAATCTGTCACTTGCGTGCAGATGCTTTGTATCCCCAAAGATCTCCTCTTGTTTGTTAAGTTAGATTAGTTACTTTAACTTAGCCATATTTATTACTGGGGTGACTGTGGTGCTACCACTGACTCTGGTACAGCAGCTCGAGCTTCAGTTCTCTATCAGGGCATGATAAACTGTTTTTCTAAGCTGCATTAACTAATACCAGAAACCAGTCAAAGTTCCAAGGTGGATGGCACAGCGGTTAACACTGCTGACTGTGTGACGACAGGTTCGGGGTTCAGTTCCCTGTCAAGGTATGGTAGATCGTTTTGTGAGTGTGATTTAGGCCCTTGTGCAATCTCATTAACCAATACCAGAAGTCAGTCAAAGTTCCAAGGTGGATGGCACAGTGGTTAACACCACTGACTGTGGTACGGCAGGCTGGGGTTCGTGGCCAGTTGTGGGTCCTTCAGCAAGGCCCTTAGTGCTATCTGCTGAGCGAGGTACACCATGAACGCTACGGCGAGGAGGAGTCAGGACGCCAGGGAAAGTGGGGAGATGTCATCCTCCCCCACAACTGAAGACTGATCAGGATGAAGATTTGCTTTTCAGACAGGTAAAGTATAAGGGCTATGACTAGGGATAGATGTGGTGGCAGTCCTCCTGAAACCAGCAGGCTGGCAGCATGAGTAGAAGAGAGAAAGGTGTGAAAGGAATAGGGGTACCTGTGGTGGAGTAGGTAGCAGATAAGAGATCTGGGTTGAAGGTAGGGGTCTAGATCCCCCAGCTTTTATCATGTGGTGTTTTTTTTATATATATATAAACATAAAACAAATCTTCATCCTCATCAGTTGTGGGGGAGGATGACATCTCCCCCCTTTCCCTGGCATCCTGACTCCTCCTCACCGTAGCATGTTCATGGTGTACCTCGCTCAGCAGATAGCACTAAGGGCCTTGCTGAAGGACCCACAACTGGCCACGAACCCCAGCCTGCCGTACCACAGTCAGTGGTGTTAACCACTGTGCCATCCACCTGCTGTGGAAGAATGTCTTTGGAACTTTGACTGACTTCTGGTATTGGTTAATGAGATTGCACAAGGGCCTAAATCACACTCACAAAACAATCTACCATACCTTGACAGGGAACTGAACCCAAACCTGTCGTCACACAGTCAGCAGTGTTAACCACTGTGCCACCCACCTGCTGCACAGGAATATATTTGGAACTTTGACTGGTTTCTGGTATTGGTTGATTTGATCTAGAGAAGGACACTAAAGAACTTCTAAAGACAGTTGATTTGTTGCATTATTGTACTCAGTAAGCCACTATTAAGAGGTGCGGTTTTTGCTTCTACTGCCCTCTGTATGCAGTGGGTCAGCTTTATTTTGATTAAAGCCCCTTTCCCACTGCCCAAATAACCCATGTAAACTCGCCACACCTCGGCTTTTGATGGCAGCGGGAATGCAACTACTGGGACAAATGACCCTGAATTGACATGGGTTGTTATTCCCCGTGCATCAGCATGGAACCAATGGGAAAGACAAATTCAGCTAAACCCGTGGACGTATATGTCGTCAGTGTCTCAGCCATAAATTCTGTCTTTATTTATTTTTTTTTGCTTCTGTCCTGCCCCATTAGTCATCTCATGACCTCTCAGATTTTTCTTGTGACATACTGGAGTACACTTTACCCACTAGGCATAACTACTTTAGTACATATCAAGTAGTTGAAACTAGCTCCACCTTAACAGTAAAACATTGATGCACTAGTTTTGCACAGCAGTGGCAAAAGTAGTACTCAGATTCTTTACTAAAGTAAAAGTAGCAATACTACAATGTACAACTTCTCTGTTAAAAGTAAAAGTCCTGCATTCAAAATGTTATTTAAGCATTAAGTATTAGCATATACTTAAAGTACCAAAAGTAAGAGTACTCACTGTGCACTATTTCACATTAATGTGTATCATATTATTGGATTATAAATATTGATGTACATCACATTTAATATTGCAGATGGTAAAGATAGTATTCATTTTAACTACTTTATGAGCTTATAATTAAAATTACTGTGGGCTGTACTGTATTTTAAATTATTCTGATACTGAAAATTAAAGTTTTCACATGTAAATGTAGTTGAGTAAAAAGTATTTGCCTCTGAAATGTAGTGAAATAACAGAAAAAGAAAATACTAATTTGTACTTAAGTACAGTAAAAGTATTTAGTCTCTACCTCTGTTACAAAAGGGCCATTTTCTGCAGAACCAGTACTGTTAGTTTTTATATTTCGATGAGTCCATTTTGGTAATACATTTGGTTTAGCGTGAAGGACTGACATGTTTGACAGGGGTAGAGTTATTTTTACTCAAGTCAAGGCTATGAGTACTTCCTCCACCGCTGTTTGCAGGTGAACACTCACAAACCATTTGTTGAAATGAACAGCACGACCAAAGCATATCAACTAATCTACAAGACTTCTTCCACATCTTTAAGGTTAATTTGCAACTTTTATATATTTTTTTAACTTTAAATCGGTCTTATAAATAAACACATTCAATGTCAGGTTCTAGACTCTTACTCACCTGTCCAAAGTTGACAGCTGCATGCTGGGCTGAAGCAGTGAACACAATGACAGTCAGATACTCTATCAGCTCCTCACGTGATTTCAGGGATTTAGGAAACTCTGTGCACATATTGTTGGCAGATAGATTTGACAAAGTAAGCTTCAGTCTGTACAAAAACACATTTTTCATTTTCAAAGCTTGCTGTGTAAAAGATCCTTACACAATACACACAGATATGTGAAATGCAGGAAGGGTATTACTACACTGAGGCTCATTCAGTGACACCATGAGATTACTGTGGCTTCCTCTTATATCCCCCCCTCAGCCCATTTGTTTATGACAGAACAGACTTGAGTTTCAAATGCTATACCTGTCTTCTCATTAAAATGATGAAACTGATGAAAGATTGAGGAGTGAGCTGCATCTCTTCTTGGAAAAAAATACATATTGTCTAGGTGCTGCGTTTTGATTATTTTTGTAATTCTAAAAAATAAAAATAAACAGGACGTGTATAATGTGTACCCACCACAGTGATCAAAGTCCTGCATCCCGAAGCTGCACACATCCTTAACGAAGGCCTGGATTTCTTCATCTCCCTGCACCTTCTCGTCACTGGTGTAGTAAATACATACTACATCAGACACAAAACTGCCAGAAAGAAAGGACAATAGTCGCATTAGAGGAAATAGAAAATGCTGCAACTTCTCTTAACCTGAAATCATCACTCACTCACATGCACATGTTCTCAGAACTCAATGTTTATTTTTTGGTATGCCAATTTTCTCTGTCTGAAACACACTGTTTATGCAAACTCTAAAACCACTGATTTTTACCTCTTGGTAGCCTCCCACACCCTGTAGCCGTCGTCTCTGTAGAAGTAAGTAGGCAGCTCCTCCTTGTTGTCCACACCACGGGCCTTGATCATATCGGGGAAGCACATAGACCTGAAGGTCAGAGACTTCATGGCTTTTTGAACCAGTTGGACATGACCACCTCCACCTGTTGCATTGGCCTTGATGATGATGGAGAAAAAAAAACAGCAGTCACACATTATTCCTGCATCTAATTACAGTGGTTTGATCTCTCATTTTTATGACTGAATGCAGTATGGGCAATTTAATGCAAATAAGTCACATCTACAAATGACTTTTTCTAAATATCACTTAAATAGATGTAATGAATTTGACTTTTCGGGGTTAATCTTCTTGCAGCACATTACTGCTTTATGTTATTTGATAGATTTCTGTGTGCATTTAAATGATAATTAAAAGGAACTTTGACTAAAAACTGAGTTAGGTTTCTTGTGTTGTATCCAAAATGCTTCCTAATTGTGTACAGTATACTATAGAGTAGCAGGTTCACACTGCTTTTGTCTGGTTTTCTGGGTCTGTCCTTTCCCTTTTCCATATTCTCTCTTTTTTGTTCTCATTAAATATGAACAGATACAGTTAACCCCTTTCCTTTCTAACTACTCTGTCTTCTGCACATCCACACCCTCACCTTATCAAAGATGCCACACTCACAGATGAGCTGCTCTCTGGCTTTGGTGTTGATGGCGATGGTAAAGCGAACATGTGGGATAATTAGCTGAGAGAATGAACATGAATCCAAGAATCAATCAAGCATTCAATAAATCAATAAAGTAATTCATGAGTCAGCGTTTTACCTTATACACAGGGTGAACGGCAGGTAGCTGCCTGTACATGGCAATAGCAAACACCTCTGTCATCAGGTGTGTCCTGAGCAAGTGCGTGATGGTCTGGTGGTGGTGGAAATCAGCTGAGCGGACCCAGATCTTTGCCAGCAGCCAGTCATACTGATCATCAGTGGGCAAGAAGATCGGGTTGTCTTCACCTGGAGTCTGCGTAAGCTGGAAAGGACAAGGGAGAAATGACATGTCAGGTGGAAAAAGAACTGTTTCCCTCATAATGTAACACCTGCTGCTGCCCATTTTCGCTGTACCTGGATGGCTATGGGCATGATCTTGTTCTGAGTGTTCTTGTACAGCAGACAGATCGGAGCTGCCAGGTACTGCAGCGTGCATGGGTCTGTGCTGTTAGGGGTGATGCCATCTAACAATTGGTAGTCTACTATGTAGATGTTATCTGCCTGGAGATGTAGAACACTGGGTTACATTGTACATTAGTAGAAGCATTAAAGAAAGACACCCTGTAACTTTGTATAAAAGATGGTACATTAATTGCCATCTGTATTTATCCTTGTCAAAATAAAGCTCACATTTTTATAACAGAAATAGACATTTAAGTTAAATGCTGGAGATTCACAGAAAACAAACAATCATGTCTACCTCTATTTCCTGCTCCAGAGTCAGCTCCCTCTCCAGGCTGACAGATACCATCTCATGAGTGACAGGAAACTTGTCAGGAAGTTTGGTGCACTTTTGGATCACTGTTGGGTTGCAACCATTCAGGAACTGGTATCCAAATATGAAGTCCTCTTTCCAGTGTTGCATCACATACTCTAGATGTTATTATCATTATTAATAATAATAATAATAATAATAATAATAATAATACATAAGACAAAGCATAACAATAGCAAAATATAACATACCTGAGATTGTGTTTTTGATTCTCAGAAAGATCATCTTAAAGTCATCAAAGTCAGTCCAGGACGACTGGAACATGTGCATGAACTGGTTTACACACAGGTTCTCTATTCTGGAAAGTTGAGGTTTTCATCATCAGCATCATCTCGATCATCATTATCACATTAAAAAGTCTAAGAATCAGAAACTAGGCATATTTGTCTCCTATGTTAATAAATTCAGAAAAAGAACATTATAGGTTATATTGCACATGTAGTTATGGTAATTCTAGCAGCAATAATTTGTCCACAAAGATGTAACATTTCTGACAACATCTTTAAAGCTCAATGTGCAAATAACTTTGTTTGTTTTACACTTTTGCAATTTTCAACTTTGGTCAGAGCTACTGCACATTACAAAACATTGTGGATCTGTTTTGTGTTATGTTTATGTGCAAGCTTGTACACCTGCATGAAAGCACAATGCAAATGTCCCTGATGGTAAACACAATAATGCCTCTGTTTTTCCAGGTACAGAAAAGAGAAGCATGTTATCAGACTGGAGCTCAGTATGCAATCATCATGAAAAACACCTCTGAGGTGAGAGCTCCACTGAGTCATTCTGTTCTGTCCCGAGGAACATTAGTTATTCTAAACCTGCTCAAATTTTACTGAATTCAACAGTTAGAGGGAGCACATACGCTTTGCTGTAGTTCAGTATGAAGTCCACTCCCTTCTCACTGTCAAACTGGATGTCCCGGGGCAAATCCTTGTGCCTCTTAGCATCGATACTCATAGGAAAACCTGGCTGCCACTCTCTCCATCTACAAAACACAGCAGAGTTGTTAGGGAGCAGCCTCACATACAAAAGCAAACTGTACGTGTAGAGTGAGCTCACCTGTAGGTCTTTCTCCTCAAATCCAGCTCTTTTTGTCTGTGCTGCTTGACCAGGCTTGTCTTATCATCCTGAGGCAGACATGCTACAAGAGACACCGGACAAAATGAGTGATGAAGAGTTTCTTTGATTAACTTGTGCTGCAGGCTGACTGATGAACAAAAAGAGACAGGTAGATAATTAGGCAAACAAACAACTGAACTAGCGAGTACCTCGGCCATCTCGCAGCACCACTTCCTTGTCATCCACCAGCCAACGGAAACAGGGGAATTCCACATAGTCTCCAGATGGGGTTTTGACTGTGATGTACCTGCAGTACCAGTCATCCAGCACCCAGTACTTCCTCTTTTCAATCTTCACCAACACGATGTCACCCAGGTCCTCCTCAACTCTCACATCATAGGAGTCCACCTGCAAGTTAGTCAGGAGCTAAATAAGTAGTACAGTATGCATTGGAAAAGTGGTGGTATTTATTGAATCAGTTGTCTTTTGGTTCAATCAGTGTTGTTTCCAAAAGGAAAAGGAGAATGCATTTCACACACCACCACCTGCACGTTTAAAAGTATATATGAATACTGGCACAGGTCTGTTGTCAACAGCATCTTGCATATAATATATTCACACTTGAAACCACATTGTTTTTTGACTTTTCACATGTGGAAAAAGACACAGCAGTATAGTACAATACAATACAGTATAAATGATATTTTCACTTATAAAATATTTCACAAGTGAAAATTTTCACATTTTTATAATATTTCACGTTTTGTAAGGGGCTTGTTCTTGCTTAGTAATGCTATTAGGCATGAACCTGAAAAGACTCAAAAACCTGCTAAACATATTTGACAGGAAGCCAGTGTTCAGTAAATGCCACTTTAATTTTTCCTAATAAAACATATTTAGTTCAACTTTTATTGAACTTAAATTTCAGGTTTGTGCAGGACAGCAGGTAAAGTTCAGGTCTTAGTTGAAACGGCAAATCAGTTTTAAATTTATTTGTTAATTTTCTACAACACGTAACAATGTACAGTATGGTGTAAACGACAGCAAACATGCCATCTGAACTGGATCACCCCTAACTTTTACTTAACAAAGAATTCAAAAGGAAATATCCTTCTACTTTCCATTAGAATTCGCTTCATGTTTACAGCAATTTTTCCAAAGGTCAACATTTTATTTTCCCAACAAAGTAAAAGTGCATTTTAATCTCAGTAGCATGGAAACAATCTCAACACACTGTTTGTGTGTAGTTGCTGATTATAATTCACCAGAAGATAAAAATCAACCTCACAGCAGTGCATTATCACTTACCGCACCCCTCTCAAAGTCGTTGTACAGAGCTTTATCCAGCAGTGTTCTCTCGCTGCATTGCTCCGTGCCCACCAGTGTAATGTAGATGTAGTCATCTGTCCCTGCGAACCACTGGTTCCCAGTGGCAATAGTGACTGTGTAAGAAGGCATGGCAGTCACACAAGGCCAAGAGGACTCCAAAAATGTCCAAACACTCCCTGAAGATAAAGAAATCTGCAGAAAAACAAACCTACTGCTACACACAAAAGCTTGAATCAAGGTTTTAGCAGAAGGCAAGCTCCCCTGTCTTGCTCAAAACTGTGACACACTTCTCACTTCTCCTGACTTCTCTTGCATCAACACCAAAAAATGTGCACTCAAGTAAAAGAGGGAGGTGCAGGACACAGTCAAGCTCTCGCCCCCCAGTCATACAAGAGATCTACGTCCTTATGTGGTAAATGAGGTCAGAATATATGACTGACCTTCCCAGGTGTGTTATCAGTGGTGATAGCCAGCATACAAGAAAAGGTCTTATTCCAGAATTTGCTATCAAATTAATTTTCTTTCTCTGAAAACAGGACAGTGTTAAATTAAAGCAAAACTGAATAAAATCCGGAATTTCACACAAAAATCTGAAAACAACAGGGTTTTAATCTGGACTGTATTTAACAGATGATGTAGAAATTAACTGCATTAAGGAACATGTGAAGGTACACACCTTTTACAAGTCACATTTACCAGTCAAATTACTACGCGACACAGAACAACAACAGGCAGTGTATTCCATTTCGAGCGAAACAAATGCAAATGTATCGCAATGTCCTTCTGTGGTTTTAAAGACAACTGCAACACCAATGTTAACATAGGAGAGTACATGGAAAACTCAAAGTGGGTTTCAGCTTCACAAGTCTGCCTAACATTCAAAGGCAAAGTAAAGATACAAGTCTTGGTATAGTTTTAAGAAGGTGACACATAATGTAATTCACTGTATTTATAACAAGCATGGTAGGAAAAGATGAACATGTAAAAAGAAAATTACATTTTTTTTCCCACTGTTCAGTCATTGTCAGTCAATTCTCTTCCCCATCGTACAGAGTGGATAAAGTACTAGAGTCCATATACATACATTTCCATATATAAATATCTTACATAAGTCCTCATTGCAGTGAGCAGCAGGAACAGAGCTGATCTGTTTTTGAAGGGTTAATAGACTTTGTAGCACTATAAAACATCGGGAACAGCGAAAGATCATGCATTTGAAACTGAACAAAAATCTGTAAAAGAGCTGTACATGAACACAGCACAGAATTACTGCTGGAAACGCCATTTCATTTCTCAAACAGCAGCTGCCACAATCAACAGCAAGAGTTATTATACTCTTAAGTCCATTCCCAGGCTGCAGGTCTGACCCCTCCAGTGTATGACATAATTTGAGTAGTGACAGTATGATTAAAAAGTAACTCGACATCCTGTTTTACTTCAACACACACACACACACACAGAGCCCACACACCACCACCCTTGTGCCCACAACATCTTGCAACTGCTAATCCTCCCACATTCCTCATCAGGGCAGGTCGCCAGTGTTCTAAACCAACAAGCTTCAGCCGTTTTAATGATTGACAGTCACTTAGTATTCACTTACTGTAAATACGTATGTAATTGGCTAAACACAACCACTCTTGAGAAATAAGACATCAAATGCAGAAGAAGGCACAAGGCTGAAAAGAGGAAGACGCTTGTACAACAAACTCATGAGGTTCATACAAATATTGGTGGTGACTTGAAGGAATCCGGTGCATTTGAGTTCAAAAGTAATTAAACAAGAATCATTCAGTAATTACTAATGCAAACAAACTTACAGCAACTCCCCAACAGCTTCATAAAAAAATCATAAAGATGCTATGAATGTTGTGCCCGACTCTGGTAAACAGTACAATTTATATTCAATGGTGCCACCTGGTGGCAACAGGTTCCTGAATCAATAAATAAATTAAGAAAAACCTACAACCACAAAGTGCAAACTTCTTCCAAGTCTCTAAGGGCAAGCGCGTCTCTCCAGACATATCAGAGCAACACTCATTTTATGTTCACATGCTGACATCTTGATCTGTTCACAGCTGAGCGTGGATGCACATAATTCCACATGATCAAAGCTACAAACAAAACATTTAAGTGCACAATAACCAACATATATATATATTAAAAAATATAATACAGCAAAATGATTACATGTAGTAACTGCTCTGGTTAAAGTTTGGCAATAAAATTCAAAGTTGTCTTTAACTAAATTCATGTACCATCAGGTCACTGCATCTTTAAAAGAAAAAACCTGCAGGTAAACTATGATATATTCATTGTAGACTTTTGTAGAAGACATAGGCACAAACAGTTACATCTTCTATAGTTACTGCACCCCATATTTTTAAAACACACAAAGCCCTGAATGGGAAAAAAAACCCTACACATTATAAACAATGAGATTATTGTTACATTTTAGCAACCTTTCAACAGTTAACTGCAAAAAGACAAACAAAAAAAGAAATGTGTAGCTGCAGAATTTAAGAGTGATATTCAAATCAAACGCATAAAACGCACATCACTGAGATCCCTTTTCTTTTTGTAAGGGAACTGACAAACATGATGATGTGAAATAAGCTAATGTGATCATGTTTGACCGGTGTACATCTTAAAATCAGGCCATGAAAGAAGAGAAAAAAGACAAGTGAGAGTGTGCAGATATCTGTAGTGTGCTGTGTGAACGCAGGGCTCCAGACTGCAGGAGATCGCTCGCATTTTACGACCACATTTATTTAAGGTGCGGCTGACTTTTTTCAAAGGTTGCACTGGGTGCAACTGTGAAATAAACAGCTCATGCACAGCCAATGCTCTCACTGTAAAAATAGTGAGCAGACGTAACAATCTCCGTGCATGCTGTCATCGCAACGTTTATTTGCAAGACTGTCACTCGTCCACCTCACGAGGCAGAGACCTCCAATCGATCCACACTGACTCTGAGGCACACGTGTCATCCCTGGACCCGTTTTAACACTTTGAGCCTATTTTTTCCTTTGACACATTTGAAGCGTAATCGCCACAGACAGCTGCTTAAATCAGGTAGATCATCTGTTCGCCTATTTATGTGTTTAGTTTTTTTTTTTCTTTCTACTTGAATCTCTGCTGATGAATCAGGCTCCTGGTGCAACTGAGCTTTCTGGTTTTACTTTCCTCAGTCCAAGATGGGAAAATGAGTAAAATAAGTAAGTCAGAGCATACAGACACTGCTGATTCCTTGCTGATGGGCCCACATAAAAACTATTTTTGTCCAGTACATTTCTGTTGTCAGTCAGCCTGGTGATGACCATGTTGTCCTCCTGCTAACAGACATCTGCTCTCACCAGAGACGTTTATGGAGGTTGGAGTCAGTGTGGATTGAATGGCTCAAACACTTAGGTCACGCACATGCACCACTCAGGTCTAGTGAAGTCCCAGTTTGCCAGTTTGAAGTTAGTTAAGTGGCCAAAACCCACCATCATGTCCTTCTTTAAGCAGTAGGCTACATTAACTTTAGCCCAGAAATGAGCTGGCACTGAGCAGGTGTGTGAGACAGCTGAACTGTGCATGAAGCCTAACACAGACACAAAGAGCAGAAATTCTTCTTCAGAAGAAAAGCGGCTACAAATAAATCGCATACACAAATGGCAAAGCATGTGTGCAATTCATCAGTTTATACTTAAGTTGCAATATAATAGCCTAATCTTCATCATCATGTCATTATCATCATGTTGACTACTAGGTTATAGAGCACAGCTACATACAAAGAGCTGGAAACTTGATCCAGAAGTGATTTTCCCCATTTACTGTGTTCTATAAGTTTCCCTCTTTCTGAATGTCATCATAAATACATGCTATGCACTTTGGACATTATTTAAAATAATATGCAGATTAAAATAAAATGCAGATTCTTTTGCATTACCTTGTAAAACACAGATGGTGCCACTAGTATGAAATGTTAGTCTGGAGCCCTGGAATGAGGCAGCTTCTGCATAATTAGAGGGCTGTTGTGATGTTGTCAACAACTTTGTTTAAAAAGATATTATTGCTGAAAACCATTCAACCAGCAGAGCCTAATCAAACGCGCCGCTGCCCATATGCTCCGTGGTTGTGTAACTCTTCTCTCAAGAGGTGGTGAGACACAAAAGCAGGAGGGAATGAAACAGGACAGTCATTGAGATCCTTACTGTCCGATATACAGCTTTTCCCCCAGCATTAACCGACACCCCTAGTGCCTTCAGTGAAGAAGGAAAAGTAAATTCCCACACTGAAGAGTTTAAGACATAGCAAATGACCCACGGATCATTCTGTGAAGGAAGCACTGAGGTGGAGCTGCTTAATGACTTGGAACGTACAGACCCAGGTGCAGACTTGGATGGTATAAAAACAACCACTAGTTCAGGTGGAGGACCTGCCTCATGAACTCATAGGTGGTGAAGGCCATGGCTTGGGAGGGGACACAGCGGATGTAGTTGAGAGAAAGGCCTCGGTACAATCCCCTCTTGATCCCGTACTGCTTATGCACATACCTCAGGGTCTTGCTCAGTGATCTGTTCAGACACAAGACAAAAGATTACACATTTTTTTGTTAATTAAATTTTTGTTCTGTTTTTTTTTTTTGAGTAGGAATGAAACGGTTCACAAAATTCACAGTTTGGTTCATATCACAGTTTCGGGGTCACCATTTTCAGTTTGGTATGTTTTTGGTGAAGCGGTGGGAAGGCACTGCCGATTTCAACATGCTTTTCATTTATTTGGCAAAAAAGTTGAATGTTTGCCTTAAAATTCTGGCTATGAATGTAAGGAATATAAACCCTTCTTCACTGTCAACATAAAGTGTAGCGTAAACCAAATGCACACCGTTTCAAAACAGCACTGCTCTGTTCATTCTGTTTTCATGCTCTTCTGCAAGATGATGAGTTTGTTCACATTCTCAGGTGCAAGATGAGCAGTACTAGAAAAAAAAAATTCTCTCAGTACAGTTGTTCCTGGTACAGCGAGGTACAGTGCCTTGCGAAAGTATTCGGCCTCCTTGAACTTTGCGACCTTTTGCCACATTTCAGGCTTCAAACATAAAGATATAAAACTGTAATTTTTTGTGAAGAATCAACAACAAGTGGGACACAATCATGAAGTGGAACGAAATTTATTGGATATTTCAAACTTTTTTAACAAATAAAAAACTGAAAAATTGGCCGTGCAAAATTATTCAGCCCCCTTAAGTTAATACTTGGTAGCGCCACCTTTTGCTGCGATTACAGCTGTAAGTCACTTGGGGTATGTCTCTATCAGTTTTGCACATCGAGAGACTGAAATTTTTGCCCATGCCTCCTTGCAAAACAGCTCGAGCTCAGTGAGGTTGGATGGAGAGCATTTGTGAACAGCAGTTTTCAGTTCTTTCCACAGATTCTCGAGTGGATTCAGGTCTGGACTTTGACTTGGCCATTCTAACACCTGGATATGTTTATTTGTGAACCATTCCATTGTAGATTTTGCCTTATGTTTTGGATCATTGTCTTGTTGGAAGACAAATCTCCATCCCAGTCTCAGGTCTTTTGCAGACTCCATCAGGTTTCCTTCCAGAATGGTCCTGTATTTGGCTCCATCCATCTTCCCATCAATTTTAACCATCTTCCCTGTCCCTGCTGAAGAAAAGCAGGCCCAAACCAGGATGCTGCCACCACCATGTTTGACAATGGGGATGGTGTGTTCAGGGTGATGAGCTGTGTTGCTTTTACGCCAAACATAACGTTTTGCATTGTTGCCAAAAAGTTCGATTTTGGTTTCATCTGACCAGAGCACCTTCTTCCACATGTTTGGTGCGTCTCCCAGGTGGCTTGTGGCAAACTTTAAACAACACTTTTTATGGATATCTTTAAGAAATGGCTTTCTTCTTGCCACTCTTCCATAAAGGCCAGATTTGTGCAGTATACGACTGATTGTTGTCCTATGGACAGAGTCTCCCACCTCAGCTGTAGATCTCTGCAGTTCATCCAGAGTGATCATGGGCCTCTTGGCTGCATCTCTGATCAGTCTTCTCCTTGTATGAGCTGAAAGTTTAGAGGGACGGCCAGGTCTTGGTAGATTTGCAGTGGTCTGATACTCCTTCCATTTCAATATTATCACTTGCACAGTGCTCCTTGAGATGTTTAAAGCTTGGGAAATCTTTTTGTATCCAAATCCGGCTTTAAACTTCTCCACAACAGTATCTCGGACCTGCCTGGTGTGTTCCTTGTTCTTCATGATGCTCTCTGCGCTTTAAACAGACCTCTGAGACTATCACAGTGCAGGTGCATTTATACGGAGACTTGATTACACACAGGTGGATTCTATTTATCATCATTAGTCATTTAGGTCAACATTGGATCATTCAGAGATCCTCACTGAACTTCTGGAGAGAGTTTGCTGCACTGAAAGTAAAGGGGCTGAATAATTTTGCACGCCCAATTATTCAGTTTTTTATTTGTTAAAAAAGTTTGAAATATCCAATAAATTTCGTTCCACTTCATGATTGTGTCCCACTTGTTGTTGATTCTTCACAAAAAATTACAGTTTTATATCTTTATGTTTGAAGCCTGAAATGTGGCAAAAGGTCGCAAAGTTCAAGGGGGCCGAATACTTTCGCAAGGCACTGTAACCTCATTTAATCCACCACTTTAGATGTGTTTTTTTATGCACATCACCCAACAGATAGAACTCTTGTCGGGTCAGATTTTTTGTACTTGAACCATTCCACCCCAAGATTTGAGCATTAACTGTAACAACACAACATCATTCTTCAGTGATATTAGGAAACCTAATGGCCAAATATTTTACCTTAATTTCATAGAGTACACTGTACATGCTGAGGGGTACAATGCATCAAGACATAATAGAATATGCAGAATATGAACTTTGGTGCTACTTACACACATTTCTCTGAGTCAGGAAGCACAGCTCCTAACTGCATTCTTCTCCTAGCCACATCCAAGGGGTATCTAGTGAGAAAAAAAGAAACCACAATGTGATGCATCAACTATCAATAAATCGGTGCAATCAGTAACATAGCCCAGCTGGTCCCCACAAATTAACCAGCCACGTTGTCAGTGTGTCATTTGATCAAGTCATCAGCTTGAAGCTTGCTGGCCGCCTGCCTACACAGCTTACGATATTGTCTGAGCGATGGCTCCAGCAACACCTCCGCAGAGCAGGTTGACATGGGTTTTCAGAATGAGGACATCGGGGTTGTCTGAGGAGGGGCGTCCCAGCAGCTCTGGGAAGTGTTTCAAGCCGAGGCTCTTCAGGGTGCCAAAGGTGAAGAATGAAAAACCTGGAGGACAATAACAGGGTGGCAGACAAAGAATCATGCTATTGCCGCAGAACACTGACTACATTGTTCTGCACAATGTCCACAATGATCTTGAATCAAGATAAAAACTCAATAACCACCTGCATATGGGGCCATTCCAATGAGTGTTGGAGTAAGTCCCCTGTAGAAGCCCCAAATGCCCCCCTCCTTTACAAAAAAGAAAATGTGCATTGCAGACAAAATTGCATTGGAAGCAGATTTTCATGTTTTTTTTTTTTAAAAAAAAAGTTTTTTTTTTTGTTTTTTTTTAATTAAAGGCTACAACATTGGCGAAGACTGTGCTGTTTGTTGGAGAAGCTGAACACTAGCAGATCACCTGAAGGTAGATGGTGTGGAAGGCGTTGACAATCCCAGTATAGCGATGCTCTCCTTTCACCTGAAAGGCCAGTCTGACCCGGACCACATCCAGAGGGTAGGTGCATATCACTGCAGTCATTCCTGAAAACATACAACATAGTTTATGGCTATGACCTTGATTCAACACACATTTGGCTGCTGAGTCTACTGTGGCTATTTCATTTTATGTCACTGACTTTCTTCTTTGTCTCTCAAAATCTTTACACTGATGCAAGTACGTACACAATTTTTTAAGATTTAATTACACACTGACAAGGCACCTGATGAGAAAGTCTGTACTGAGGCAACAAATGATTCCAGAGAAAAACATAACAATGTATGCTCTGCCAATGATTAAACATTTTATATGAGTGACAAGGTGCCAGTACAGGGCTTATCAGTTAGAAGGATAAGGTACCTGCCATAGATCCTGCCATGAGGCGGTGGATGTGTCCCGAGATCCCAAAGTGTTTACCGAGCAGCTGAAAAGACAATATTATCACCATCAGCAGAGAGAAAATAAAGGCCATCAAATCCATCAGTGAAAACAATGCTTAGGTGTTAAAGAAAATTTTATTGCACAGAAAAATGCCATCATACTTAAAACAAAAATATAAAAAACACAGCAGCAGCATAAAAGCACATTTCTCTAAACAACCAGTTTTACTGTCACCCAGTTACACATGGTAACATTGCCCTTTGAAACTTTTATTCCACAGTAAAGTACATACTTTACCTTTCTATAAATGTCAAAGGCCATGAACTGGATGGCTCCATAAGGAAATATCCTGACCATCATTGCCCCGTTACCCTTGTACAAACCAAGGAAGCCTTCTTTCTTTGGAACAGCTCTGAAAGTGGAAAACACTCCTGCAAAGAAAGTCAACAGTTTCATTCATGTAGCACAAATGTGTGACAATCTACTAGATGGTACTGCTGTTTTACCTAGATGTTTGTAATGGGGGTTCTGGGCTTGAAGAAGAATCTTGACTCTGTCCAGAGGAGCAATTGTGGTCTTGGCACAGCATGCTGCTACACCTAAACAAAAACAGAGAAACATAGAATTAGCATATCTAATGTTAAACATCAGGATATAGACATCAGTAAACAGCATTGTTTATTGTTTTTCTCTTGTTTGAATCACATAAATTCCACTAACAACCAGGAATAGGCAGGGAGGGAAAAAGAGAGAAGTTAAAGAAGGACAAGAAAACAATCAGACCATCACTTTCAGATGAAATGTGAACTCCTATATTTTAGTTAAAGAAGAGGTGGCTGTGGCTCATGAGGTAGGGCAAGTCGTCTTCTGACCAGCAAGTTGGTGGTTCGACTCCCGGTCTCCCCACATGCCTAAGTGTCCCTGAGTAAGACACTGAACCCCAAATTGCTCCCGGTGGCTTGACTAGCGCCGTTGTGTGGCAGCCTTGTCGTCATCGGTGTGTGAATGGGTGAATGGTGTATAATCTCCCTGTAAAAGCGCTTTGGCCAGTGCATGAAAGCGCTATATAAATACAGTCCATTTACCATTACATTTAAAGGGCCTGATCCTATTGATGTATCTAAAGTAAGATTACAGTCAGGAAGCAGTCAAACAAAGCAGTGTTTGAATGGTAAAGGGATGCAGTCTTGCAGACACACAGGCTCGCAATTGTGTCCACTATGAGAAAGCACTATATAAAATACAGTCCATTTAGTGCCAAAATCTATGTTGAGTAAATTTTCATAGACCTGACAAGGATGCTTCAGACTGATGTGTTAGATCCTACCTCCGGCTGCAAAGGAGCGAAGCCAGTAGTAGTCCCTGTTGGCAGGGCTGCTGCTTATGGAAGGTGATGTGGACACTGCAGCCTCTGATGTCATCCTTTCTGCTCAGGAATCTGCTGCATCCATGCCTGCACAATTTGGGGGTAATACTTTAAACGCACATGTGCATAAGAATAAGCATACCACCTAAGCATGTACGTTATGTATTGATTTAAGACAACACAGAACATGGCATTCATCATACTTACAAATACCTCTATAAACAAGCCAATTTAAGATTGGTGTGAGGTTAATAAATCCTAATATACGATGGGACACATCATCGATTTAGCTAGGAGACAACATGAACCCCTGACTGTTAAAAAAGGATACTCACAAGATACTGAAAACTGTAGGCGCAAAAGCAGCAAAGTGAAAGGTCGCTCGGATTAAATCTCTTCAAAATATCTTTCTCCTTTGCTCAGTTGCCGGCCTCTCACGTTTCTCTAACATTACTTCCTCGGGATAATCCTGACTGTTAAAATGCAGCTTTCCATAAACACCGACCGGTATCGCACCGACAAGCTCGTCCTTCGCCGCTTCTACTGAAAAACTGGACAAAAACCGTAATCCAGAATGAATCTGAGGTACTTCAGTTTTCATTAAACTGTAAACATATCCCCTTCACCCCTGACTGATGGTCAATGGCCTCAAACTGTCGCGTGTTGATGACGCAACCTGACATGGCAGAGTTGGGGGAGGCGACAATTAGAGATAGACATTAAAGGTCACGTGTAATACTAAACACATACAATTATAGTAAATCTCGTGTGGAACGTAATTTTTTACGCTGTTGTATTTTGCCATTTTATGTTATTTTTTCCATTTGAGAAACTCGTAATGTTTTGTAAACTGGTTTGAGTCTAAACACATTTAGATTACTGAACATCTACTAGGAGAGCCACAGCTTTTTATCAGATGTGGCGTCACCTGTGTCAGTTATTACACACACCTTTCGCCCCTTTACTAAGTTGATTCTTGAATGTGATTGGCCTGTAATCACATGACCATAACCTGCTTATGTGCATGTTTTTTTATTGGTCGATATACGAGTTTGTATGTTACTGCTTTTATTTTACTACTTATAAGACTCTTGTTATTTATTTTTAACAGACCCTGACGACGGGTCCACGTGTTGGTTTTTACATTAAATTTGCTCAAAACACAGCAAGTGTTGCCAGATTTTTTGTCTTCGAAGTAAATTTTTTTCTAAAAGCTAGTGGCAAAAACATGGCTTCTTCCATTCACACTCGTTATCCCCAAGAAATTAAAATGTACAAAACAAAATATAGTCTATGCTACAAACGTTTACTTTAATATTTGTAGATATATCATCAACAAATATGATTTCTGTAAAGAGGAAAACGATACAATAAAACATGTATTTTATGAATACTCATTTAGGTCAAAGGTCAAAGTGTTTATTCGTCAAATGCAGTTAGGAAACGTGTTTCCCTGTACAATGAAATTCTTTCTTTGCCGTCCACATGAATGCCATACAATACAAATGAAATATAAAGTAGATGAATAAGTAACACAAAATCTAAGGCACTTTAAGCAGCAAATGCAGAGATATAATAAAAATATATAAGAATATAATAAAAGAATTTATGTGCATATTCTGCAGATAATTATTTTTAATAAATTAATTAAATTTCATTGCCCATCATTATTATTATTGATATTATTAATGAAAAATAAAAGCTAACGCATATAAGCTAAGGAAAACTGCATATTCATGATTCCAATTTTTTCAAATTTTCGTCCAACTATTGACCTACTCAATACTGAATTTATTTAATTATGCATAATTTATTATCAATACTAGGTTATGTATGTAGCCTGTGTGTTTTCCCTTTCACTTCTCTAAAATCTACCATATGCTGCGTCCGCGCTCGCTTTTACGCACAGTCCTGGGGCAAACGACACCTGAAGTCCATCCCGGGTTTTCTTGTCTACCCCTCCCGTCGGTGCCGACGACGACTTTCTTGGCCAGCGGAGGCCGTAGGTTGGGTCTGGTGGAGGGAGAGTGAGCGGGGCCTCCCTGAATGGATTGACATTAGAGGATTTACATTTTCAACACGGGTGTCCTGCTCCGCAAAAACTACATGGTGCACGTTTAAAAAAACTACTGTTGTATGTTCATGTCGGTGCTTGTATCATGTCCGCGTGTCACCGTCGTGAGGAATATTAACCTGCCAGCAGTCTATATTTGCCGTGGAGGAAAACCAATACAAGGTCTCGCTGTCTCGCTGGAGGGGAGTATTATTAGCAGTTCAGACAGTGCAACTGTCTCTCTGGTATGTAAAGCATGTTACCCGTAAGCGTGTAAATAAAAACCTTAAGGACAGAAAACTGTCTATACACA